TAACTTTGACGAGCGTCAAAGAGAATTAAAGCCCCTCCAAAAGCCACCACCCTTCGGCCCCAGTGTTTGTGTTTTCAGTGAAAGTTGTGCTTCAAAAATTCGACAACATCTCGTTGGTGGAAAGCAAAAGTATTTCGGAAAATGCAATTAATTACCAGCTCATTTTAATAATGCTGATTCGCAAAAGCTTTTTAAAACATTTTTCAAATTGATAGCATGCTTGCTTTGATTGCAGTCTCTCGTCCTTGGCAATAATTTAAAATTAAAGTTAATTCATGTTTTGAGTTTTGTCTTGAATGTCTTCTGCTGCTACTTCTTAGTTTGCTTTGCCGCACGTTAAGTTAAAATGTTATACGATTTTTATTATTTGCGGATACATTTGAGAACCATTGTCAAATAAATCAAGTTGCCAAAGCCATTCAGTCTATATGGCCATTCTTTAAGAGTGCTAGTTTTTCTATCTTCAGCTAACTAAGCAATTTCGCGTAGCTTATATGTCTGCTCAAATTGACCGCAATAAAAATAGACAATTTAAGCAGACACAAAACGTTAAAATAGTTTTATTATGTTCAGCGAAACACTTTCCAAGCATTGCAGGCTATTACTTTTCCAATCCAACTCCCACCTGTTAAACAGACATTACTCATACGCACAGTGTGCTTGAATTCAAGTTAAGAGTTGACGTCCCATAAAAACGTTGATTACATTTTATACACTGACCTATGGTCCTGTCTACTTCCGAGGTCCTTTCTTCCTGTCCACTCTGAACCTTTTAAAGTTGTCCACCCATGGACTTACTATAAGTTATACATGTGTGAGTGCGGCAACTGCTGATTCTCCCAGGCGCTACAGCCATTATTTCTTCCACTTCCGCAGCTTCCTTGGCCAGCATCTTAGTTTCTGTGGCCGTGTGTGTGTTTGTGTGTGTGTGAGTGTGCTATGTGTGCCCAGCTGTGCAATTGTTGACACCCACCGAACACAGAGACACGTACACGTGCAAAGGGGCTTGTTTTTCGATACAGCAGCTGCAGCTGCCGGCTTGAAACGCTCCATTTGTGCAGCCAATCGCTACAGGCGGCGGCCTCTTATTTATACCCTAACCTAAGTACTGCTGAGGACATGCTGAAATCAACGGTTCGATGTGACCTTCTGAATGGAGCTTGTGTGCATTAAATCAACTTTTCCTGTAATAAAAGCTAATTGGCAACAGTTTTCTAATTAATCTAGAAGAATGAATTATTTGTTTTCAGCCCAGGGGAAAGTGTATTGAAAATTCGTCTAGTCCCGAACGCATTTTCCTAAAATATTTTAGTTTACCCCCCTTTAGCTTGTGGTTGTAGCGCCTGGCTGCCTCCCGCGCATTGAGTTCATTACCCCGTTGTGGTTAAGAAGGAGTGGCGGGCCTAGCCAGGATAATGTAATATTTAAGCGACAGAAATATTCACAAAAAGTTGAGCTTAATCGCAGGCTGCATCTGTTGCTATACCAACTTTTGCCTGGTATTTAAGTGAGGCATCCAAATTAAGCGAAACCTTCAGAGTCTGCCCGAGGGAAACCAAGCCCGAAACCACTTATTGCCAAAGTTTCGGCAAACTCCTTCATTCCATTATTGATTATTTTCAACCTTTATTTTCTACGCTTTATTTTGCTACAATAGCCAGTTCAAGTTCCCAAGCTCAGAACTCTCTTTTTATGAGTGCTTTAAAACTCCTTGAGTTGCGCTGACTTTTACTAACTTTGATGGCAGAAATGCACGGATGAAAAGCTTCGTGACGATTATTAAAAATTATTTTTATTCCTTTGTGCCTTTTAAATGAGAAACTGTGTGGAAAAAATTATATTATTTAACGATAAATAGAAAATCTAAAACTATAGTCGAAAAAGACTTTTAAAATACCAAAGTTGTTCCTATATGTAGAGTATAAAAGGAAGTATGAAGAAGCGATTGGGCTGCGTTTCAAAACTTAATGGTGCCACAATTGCCAGGCTTTTCAGAGGATTCTCTCTGTTTAAATCGCTCCACAGTAGTGTGATCTAAGCTTGTTTTGGTCCTTACAATATAGCAAATGTCGTCAAATCCATACACAGAAGTAAACATCCACAAACACAGACACTTATGGGCAAACCCAAAAAGCCACGGGCATTGCCTTCTAAGTCTCGTCCTTTTTTCCACTGTTGTCCTTTTTATTTATCTCGCTTGCTCATTTTTGTGTTTTTGTTTTGCATTTTCAACGAGGCCAAACCGCACACACACGCACGCCCCCATGCAAATAACACACACACAAATGCACGCATACATAGACAGGGTGAATGAGAAGAAGACAAGGCGTGACAAGTGCAGGCTTCATCCGAACGTGCCCTCTGACCTCAGCCCCACCACCTCCTCCCCCGCCGCCTGTCAAGTCCACACCCTCCCCGCCCGCTGTCATATCCAAAAAGAGGAAAAACTTTAACTAGATGCATATATAAATTGCGTTCTATATATTTATGCCCCGACATATATGCAAATGCATCATGACTGCGCAGCGGTGGAGGCACAGCTTCTATTAAATATGCTTATTATGACACAAACACACATATATACCATACATAATGTTTATTGGGTTCTTGGCGTTCAGTTCACAAGAGCAGAAAAAAATATTTAATTGATAAATTCAACGTCGATAGCTTTACTGACTGATTTAAAGTGATACTATTAAAATTAGTTTCTCCTTCTCTGTTTGCGTTGTTCGTTCGATTTATTTGTTATAATTAAATATATGTGATTTTTTAAATGGATTTATTTGCACAAAAAGTGTGCAAAATTATTTAAATATTCAACAAAAAACACTAGCTTTTCGTAGCATTTTTAATACGAGTATATCCAAAAATGGAGCTTCTGATTAATAGCGCCTGTTTTTTTATGCCGCAAAGTCCTTCCTTTTTTATGTTAAAGATATCCTCTTCCATTCTCAGCTGGTGTTTTCGATGTTTCTCACTTAGGCTTTTTGGCTCATCTTAGCCCACAGCGTTCCCTTTTAGTTTTACTGTCTGCATTCGTTTCGCCTTCCATAAATAAAATAAATGTAGGTGAAAATATACATAAATAATGGGCACAAGCGCGGCTTTTTTATGAAGTGTTTGATTGTGCGAGTGTCAACCCAGGGCACTTGAAAGTGGGGGAAAGTGGGGGGACTTGTGATGGGGGCGACGTCTGTGAAAATTATAAAACAGACGACGCAGCCATTCTGGCGGGGCAAAGATATTATGGCCTCTGAAGGCTGAGAATGGGCCCCCTGCCATGTAGGCGTGTGTAAATAGCAAAAACCTAGTCGGGCGTACACAAGCAAAGTCATCATGGAAAATGGCTAAACAGGGAGAGGAATAAGGGCCAAAGAAGATAGAAAGATAACAGAGTGGAAGGCATGACAAATACGTTTTCTCTGCCTTTTATGGTATATATGTGCATACATATATGACCTGAGGTAGTGGGACGTATAAAGTTTGACCTCCAATCAATAAATCACATTAAAAGAGGATCTCAAAAAACGAAAAAAAAGGAGAATGCCCAAAGATGGCCAATAACTGACCCATAATTGTTCATTGTCACATCATTGTCTGCTTCAGTTGCTCCGGGCAAGGAATAAAAGCATCCACCTAGAAATGTATTTATTCTCTGCTCCCAAAGTGAACACTTTTCCTTTAATGAATGAGAAATATCCCTTTTGGCTATTTTCGCTAATATAACATATACTAAAAGACAATATAGGATACTTAATAGTAAATAACGCAGAATCATATCCACATATTAGGAAATATCTTCGAAACCTCACCTTCGAATATCCTTTTTTGTTTCACCTGCTCCGGCTTTTCTCGACAAACTAGATATACACAGCAAGCATCCTAATAAACACCATACCAATAAATGACTGGGACTCATTGTATTCACCTAGAAAGGATGATATACTTTGGCCCAAAGTGAACACCTCGCCTTTAAATGGGTGAGGAGAATCCTTTTTGTATCACTTGGCTCCGGATTTTCTCCGCTTTTCTCTCTTCATTTTCTTCTGGGCCAGTCAGGTCTCATCATCCGCTCGACTTTGTTTTGCTTGCGTTTTTTTCTCAGCTTTTGGCTTGATTTCGTTTTTGTCGCTTCAACCGGAGTCCTTTTACTCCGCGTTTGCCTTTTACTAGCCCAGACAGACTGCGCCCACATGGACGTGTACATATATGTGTTTTTCCAGCTGCCAAAAGGCTGCGCTTGGCTTCTTCGCAGCCAGTGTTTTGTTTTTGGCTTCGTCAGCCAACTTTAGCTATTGACAGACCTTGCCACCTCGCGTCCATGTCCTTGCTGACATCCTTCGCTTTCAGCGTTCATTTTACAGTAGGGCGGGAAGGTGATGTAAAAAATATACACAAATTTCAAGATATCTTCTGTGGCCTACACTGCGTGCCCAAAAGCCATAATTATCACGCGCTCACATGGCGTATACGAGATTTTGCTGTTTCGCTGTTTCCCGTTTAAACTCTTAACCGAAATTTATGCTTTCGCTGTTGCTAATTGTACATTTTGTTGCTACTGCTGTTTATAATGTAAAATTTATTGTGTTTGTGCATGTTTATTATCGCTTCGCTGTTACGCGCCCTTATATGGATTTGTAACACGCCCACTCACACCCTGTTTAAACATCACTGTGCATTTATGTTTTACAGCGTCTGCAAAAAATATTATCAAAAGTAATAAATGAATAACAAAATACAAAACAAACGCCATCAATAATTCATGGGAAAAAACAACACAAACAGAAATAACCAAAAATAAAAGCTTGCGGCGCGTCGTTCTTTAAATATTTTATAAATTAATTCTGCAAACAGCATAAGCGAAATTAAAAAAATACAACAGAAACATCAGGAATTAATGTAGTGCCTAATGCAATGTGTAATAAAACCGTGTAGACCAGGAGGTGCACCAGATCATTAAATACCAGCAAACACTGTTAGGTGAAAAAAATTATGAAATACAAATTTATATTTATTATTGAATAAATATGCAGAGTAAATAGCACATATGCTACCCGTGAAAACAAATTGAATTATACAGCAAATTAAACAACAAATACTTTTCGTCGTGTTTTCAAATGTTTGGCTATTAAAGCGCTTACAGCTTAATTGGGCGTTACAAAGTGGTAAGTGTAAAAATAAACATTTTTGGTAAACAATTATTTTTAAAAACATAAATTATTAAATGTCAATGATGTCAATGATTTCATTGAATAAGAAAATGCTTTAGAGTGATAATAAACTTGTTAGGAATTGATCTTCTTCTCGTCACATTAAACTACCTCCCAATTTGTAAATTTTATACAAATTTTGTACAAATTTGAATAGATTTATTATACTCAACAACCAAGCAAAGCCTTTATCTTCCATACAGCGATATTTTAATAGCTACTAATCACAATCAAGACCGATTAAAAATTGTAATTAAGATACATTCCTTCATACATATATCATATATTTTAATTTGAACACACGTATACAACGTCGTTCATTGCTTTATCAACCAACTTTGCTGATGCAAAGATATCTGTCGACCCTCATCCATCAACAAAAACCCGACCACAAATGTCACATGCAAATTCGGTTCGCCTTGTAACGGAAGTGCAAGCAAAAAATAGCGAAAGATTTTTATACATAACTTTTTATGCTACTCATTGTTGGAGGCAGAAACTTGCTTCAACCGTTGCAAGGTGGTTGCAGCACTTTTGCGGTGAGGTGAGCTGAACGGGTGTGTGCACGTTTTTGCATTTGCACCACTTTATTTCAATTTTATTCGCCATTTTCTTCGTTTGCGTGGCACATTTCCTGGGGACGAGACGCAGCAGTGACTTTTGCTCTGCAGCTGACTCGACTCCACTTTCCGTTTTCCCTGGCCTGCCCCTCCTCCTCATTACCCTCTTTACATTTCTAATTACACGCTCATTTTAAACTTGAAACATTTGCAAACGGATGCCTGGGTCTGCCCCTGGAGGAGTCTGCGATTTTCAGTAACAATTTTCCATTTCCCATGCCATGAGGCTGCAAAAATGTTGGGTCAGAAACGTAATAGACCAGATTTTTCGCTGAAGAAACCTAACAGGTCGACCACAAATGTCTGGCATCTAGGACTTGATTTGGAGACAAGGCTTGCATCGGACATTTTTCATTCATTTTGGGTTTCCAAAACATTTTCCTAAATTGATTTAGTATAAAAGATATCACAAGTGTTTGTGTTTACATAAAAACGTAGTATTTAATATAAAATATTCGCTTAGAAAGTAGAAATTTTTAATTGCAGTTTTTATACTTACACGAAATAGACCCAGTAACGTATTTTCATTTTGTTAGGTTACTAGAAAATGAAAACAATGCATGTCCATTTTGCATGTGAGGAAACATTTGCTGCGCAAGTAAATGTGCAGGTGGGTGAGACGATTTTTTTGCGTTTCTAGACTGCTCTTTGTTTGAGTTGTGTTTTAATTTCCATATTACGTGCTGGCCAGGGATTTATCAATGCGATTTATATAAGCCAAAATTTCTCCATTTCCGCCAGAAGTAAGCAAGTAAATTACTGCAATCGTTTGCAACTTAAATGGGGAAGTTTAAGGAAGGTATCCTTATTAGAAAAATATTGCTTATTATCCATAACTTATTAGTTTCTTTGCAGAAGATGAGGTATCGATCTGATGAACTCAATTAGAAAGTATTGATTTTTTCTGAGAAGCCATTTTATTATTAAGCACTCAAATTTCCAGGTCAAACCTAATACCAATATAGCCAACTTTGGCCAACTTTTCTATTGTTAGACAATGTGAAAACTGAAACTCAACTCAGCAATCTTTATATTGTAAGAATTATTTGATTTTTATGTGTAGGGAGCAAACGTTGACCTTCCGTTGCCATTTGACCTTTTGAGGCGGTTTTAAGAAAAATTCGGACGAGCTGGAGCACTGGCAGAAAAGTTGTATAAAAAATTTAAAATACTCGCGGGCTTTCTTCAAAAATGTATGCAGTAAATAGCTTCAAATAGTAGCTAAAGTAGTTAAAGAGAAATGATTAAATCTTTTGGCCCGCATTTAAAATGTAATTGAAATATTGCTCATACGCAGCATGTGCCATTTCTTGGGAAATAATGCCAAGTCGGTTCATACCAAGTTGGCCCCAATAAGGCCAATTCAGAGACATAAATCTTAAGGCAATAAAGCGGAAAATGTCGCAGCATGGGACCATTTTATTTTGCATACTGGTAGAGCAGATCTCGTAAATGTACTAATATAGAATAATATACCATATACCATATACAATATCTTCAAGAATAATTGTATCAATAAGCAAGGAGTAGAAAGTTTACTAAAAAAGTATGAACTTTATAATTGAGAAAACTATTAAAGCCATTAGAGCTTGCTTTATCTATCTGTATATCTAGTTTTTCCTTCTTTCTGTTTGTTCCTTTTTTGCGTCTTTAAATTTGGCTATGGCTGCAGTTGTAGGAAAGTTTCAATTATAAGTCAGTGTGCCAGAAATTCTATCTCAAACTCTAATTAATTTATAGTGCTTCACAACTCCTAGCTTAAATGTGTGGAGTTGATAAATGTTCGGGACAAAATTATAATACTGCTGATATCAAAATGAAATATATTACTAATTACACATATCACATATTTTTATCTCTATAATATCAGTCTTCAGTTACTATTTAATATGTTAATATGTAAAACGGCACTAAAAATACAGAACTATTTTTATATGGCTCAGGTAGAACTGAAAATGGCTTTAAAGAAAACAAACTTCAGCGGTGCTATCAGCTGCAGATTTCGCTGTTGGTATTGCCAATTTAAGCGAAAATTAAATTGGAATTTGCAATGAATATTTGAACAAAAGTACACAGACCAGAGTGCGGTAAGCGAGCAGTGGTAATGGGATCGAAACGAGAGGATGCGGATAGGCTGCATTAAATGAACACAAGTGTTGAGCAAAGTGAATGCGTAATGCGTTTTTGCACCCGGAACAGGACAGGACCACCAAAAAAATTCGGACTGTCAGTCACCCAGGTCCGTAATTTGCAGCACGGGTATTCCGCTGAGTTGTTTCCCTCGGTATGTGTGGTTCTTCCTTGATATCCTAACAAAAAGGATGAACTTATCAGAAAAGGAATTGTAGCATTTCAGAAATAATGAGTTCGTATGCCTTCATTTACACATATCACTTATGATATAAATATCTTATTTCAGTAATAAACTCTTGTACTCTTTTTAAAGCTGAATGTTGTGGTTGCAAACTTGGTTACTGATGTATAGCTGTTATGGAACAAGTGGAAATAAACGTTCGGCGCCACATCTTTTTATTCTTGTTAAAAAATGCCTTTGAAGACTTTATATTTATATAAAGTTTATATTTATCAATAATATTTATGGTTTCAAAACTGGTATTTAAGCCTCCTAGCTTATATTATTCTTAAGATGTTGTGAATAACTTTCGTTATGAGTTGCCAATAGAGGTCTTCAAACCCAGGAAGTTGCCTTCAGACTGAGTGAAGCTTGTTTAATAGGTCTCGGAAAATGTGCACCCCTGCCCAGAACCAATCCATTCCTTGCTGTTGACCCCTTTAGATCGAACGGCAGTTGCAGCGCATTTGATTTTTCCATACTTGCCGTCGAGCGTGACATCCACGTAGCCCTTCACGCTTCTCCCGCTTCCGCCCCTCTGTCACATGTGAAATTGGGCGGCTGACATGTTTGCCGCTGTTTTTTTCTTGGTTTTTTTTTTTACCACCACCTCTCGTTTTTCCATTGCTCATGTTAGAGTAGGTAATTTTTTAATGCATTTAAACGGCTGTCAAGTGGCCCACACACGCCACTTCGCGTCTGAAACAGCTCCACATTGCCTCCGTGCCCCATCCCGTGCCCTTTGTTAGCAGTTTTGCAAAGTGACGCGGCGCGAGCAGTTGCCCAAAAATATGCAAAAACCCGCGAGCACTTACGACAAGCTCGTTCCGAAGGCAGGAGGACTATATCAGGTTGCGCCCCCAACAGCAAAGCAAAATTTAGACATTCAGCCTACAGTTTGGTGTTCAGTTTTCATTCACCCAAAAGTGAAACGAAATAGAAAAAATACTTTTTCCAGGGAATAGCGCACAGTCCATGGTGAGTTGGTTGCTTGATGGATTCCGTTCATAATCCTGCAGATTAGGTGAATTATACCTATAACTATGACTAGTTGGATCAGAAACAATAAGTCAGTTGCACATTGGCATGTTTGCGAAAATCAATAAGTTAATTGGAAATGGATCGCCATTGATAAAATACATGTTCCATGGCAGAACATCTAGGATTCGTTGTAAAACGTGCTTTTGTTTCCCTTTGTTTTGAGCACTCACAACGTTGGCTTGCCTGTAGGAGCAGAGTCAAGTAGAGGACATACAAAATTGAAATAAAGTACAAACATGTTGCCAACTTTTGCACAGCAGCAGCAACAACAATAACCACTGTCTGTCATTCAGTCTGTCGGTCTGTGGAATGGTTTAGGCCCATAACAACAACAACAATAACAGCAGCAGCAGCAGCAACAACAACAACAACAACAACAACAGCAGCGGCGAAGAGCGAGGCAGGAAAAAGTTTTAACTGATTACGTTTGCTGTTGATAATGTTGAGTGACATTTGGTTTGCGTATTAACTTAAGTGAGCGACAGCAGCTGTCTGTCCCCCGCCATCTGAACACATGGACATACACATCCACCTACACATACACACGTATGTGGAGTGTCCTGGATCCACCCACGGATTCACCCCTTTTGGGAACTCTTCGGATTGCCAGGAGGTTTGTATTTCAATTAAAAAATTAATTTTTTAATGTGACCCGCTGATGGGGCTCCGCATCCCGCTGAATGGCAAATGCTTTTAGAAATTAATGTTGACGAAACAGAAAGCCAACAATTGAGTTCGGATGAATTAAACGTTGGCATAATGAATTGTAAAACTCATTTATGCTGGTATCGGCAGACATACCATATCACCAGGATTCAATAAAATCCCCCAAGTTGTGGGCACCAGAACTTACCCTCAACGTTGGACGTGTAATTGTATACATGGGCGCTAGAATCGCTCAGGGTGTATTTTTGTCGCGTTGCCAAATTCAAATATCTTTT